TGTATGGGTCTCCCCTCTGCCCATTCCAGGGCTGAGTCCGGGCACAGGTCTGCATGTTAACAGAGAGAAGCACCCTCTGCCTCCCTCCCCCCCCCCCCACACACTCACACAGCCTTACTTTCCAGGGTCTTTGGACTCAGTGGGCTCCGTTGTGCTCAGGAGTGTAAACAGGAACGTGACAGTAGGTTCTGGTTGTGAGTCCAGCTTTTGCTCTGAAGAAGATGGCTTTGGCAGAGAAGGTGCCACAGTGACTGAACAGCATAAGGGGACAGCCCAGGAGACTGGGTCCTCGCACACCAGACAGTAAGACAGCAGGGATGATGGCTGGCAGTTCAGAGGTCTAGTCCCCAAGAGGAAGAATTTCTCTGGCCACCTGCCACCCTACCTGCCACCCCTGCTCTCTACCTTGGGAAGCCCTGGGCTTTCCTGTCACCTCTAAGACTGGCTCCTCGGAGACCTGAGGGTCTTCTGGCTTCTGCTTCTCAACAGGCTGTGCTTCTGGCTTCACCATGGGCTTATAGTAAGCTCTTCTACTGCCCCTGGGAAACTGAAGGAGACAGAAGCCCAGTTGGGGAGCCACATCCACCATCCTGATGATTTCCCCTTTCCAGCCTTATCTGGTCTTTTTGGGAGCAGCCTCCAGTCTGGAGAGCCTCTACCACTTCTGCCCGGCTAATGAGATCCCTCAAAATTAGGGTGACCACATTTAGCAAATAAAATACACGGACACATAGTGTAATTTGAATTTCAGCTGAAAACCAAGTGCTTTTAAAAGTATAAGTATATCCTTGGGGGATCCCTGGGTGGCTCAGCGGTTTAGCGCCTGCCTTCGACCAAGGGCATGATCCTGGAGTCCTGCATCGGGCTCCCGGCATGGAGCCTGCTTCTCCCTCGGCCTGTGTCTCTGTCTCTGTCTCTCTCTCTCTCTCCCTCATGAATGAATAAATAAATAAATAAATAAATAAATAAATAAATAAATAAATCTTAAAAAGTATAAGTATATCCCATGCAATGTTTGGGAAATATTATACTACAAAATGATTATTTATTGAAATTCAGGGATCCCTGGGTGGCGCAGCGGTTTAGCGCCTACCTTTGGCCCAGGGCGTGATCCTGGTGACCCGGGATCGAATCCCACATCGGGCTCCCGATGCATGGAGCCTGCTTCTCCCTCTGCCTGTGTCTCTGCCTCTCTCTCTCTCGCTGTGACTATCATAAATAAATAAATAAATAAATAAATAAATAAATAAATAAGAAATTCAAATTTCTCTAGGTGGTCTATATTTTATCTGGTGACATGCTACATGCTGACAATATTTCATAAACGGAATTCCTGCAAATGCAAGTTATTGGGTATCCAGGCATCAGGGGCGCCCTACTGAAAGGAATCCTATAGAAGCTTGTAAGAAAGCAGAGAATCCCTCCCATTTTTGGTGTTACAATCATCTATTGATCAGACACAGAGAAGCAAATAGTGTGGCATTCAAGCCCCCCTGTTATGAACACCCTCGTTTGTAATCCTGTTAATATCCCACTGACCCCAAACGAGCGTCTGCTCAGACCAACCAGGAGCCTCACTTTCCAACACCAGCCTGAACTGTCCCCACTGCCACACTCTGGCCCATGTTGTCCTGCCCTCTCCTGTTCCCTCCCTGCTCTGCAATCTGAACTGGACTCACTCTTTCCTCTGCTGAGCATTTCGCCCCCCCACCCCGAGGCCCCCTTGGACTAGCTCACAGTGGAGCCAGAGCTGGGCTCAGCCTGAGGATGCGTTTGTCTCTACGGCAGTGTTAGATGTCCCACTGAGCAGGCTTGAAATAGCAGCTTCTCTCCAAGTGACAAAGTCTTACTTAAGTCAACAGATGGAATCATCACTAGTTCTTTTGGTCTCAGATTTTTCAGAATCTTGCACATCTGCTGGCTCAGCAATGGAGGACAATCCAATCGGAAGACAAATAGTGACCTCAGATTTGTCCTTTACACTGAGCTCCCTCTGGGCTTTTGATAGGCCCATGGGTTGTAGCAGGGGTCCTACATAGTGTACCCTCTGCAGTGCATCAAACCTTTCCAGATAGCCTAAAATATTGTAATTTCTATCCACATGATGGAAACAGAATTTTGGTGGCCAGCAATACCCTGCAGGGCAGGGGGCAGGGGGCAGGGGGCGGCTAACTCTGGGGACTCACTGAGCTCCACAGTGATACCAATGCTCACAAGCAGGCAGCTCCATCACTGGGTCTGACTCGTCCCAGGGGGAAGCTGGCAGCTTATATATTTTTTTAAGATTTTATTTATTTATTCATAGAGATGCAGAGAGAGAGAGAGAGAGAGAGAGAGAGAGAGAGAGGCAGAGACACAGGCAGAGGCAGAAGCAGGCTCCATGCAGGGAGCCTGATGTGGGACTCCATCCCAGGACTCCAGGATCATGCCCTGGGCTGCAGGTGGCGCTAAACCGCTGTGCCACTGGGGCTGCCCAAGCTGGCACCTTATAAACAAGATTTATGAAACTAGCCAAGACCTTTGGCCCTGTAACATCACTTTGGTAACTAGGCCTAAAAACATGACTCCAAAGGAAATAAAATAATTTACACAGAGGTCCACGGTAGCTAATTTATACCAAGAAGAAAAACTGGAAGCAGCCTGAAGGGCCCAAATACAAGAAAAAGTCAGTAAATAATGGCAGGAACATGCTAGAACACACTTCACTCTGCTGTTAATGGTTCCCAGTAAACATTGGTTGACCAACTGCTGTCTGTGGGACGGGTCTCAGTGGGGTCCTGAGAATATACAGACAAGTGATCATGACCTGGTTCTGCCCAGAAGCTCCTGGGGCCGGGGAGGCCCCAAGTTCCCAGGTGCCCACAATGCAGGGAGATGTGCCTTTAAAGAAGCCTATACAGACAGCCCCGGCCATGAAAGAAGGGAGCCACGCATTTGGCTTAGAGCTCCAGAGACTCTACCACAAAGATGCTATTTGAGCCTCAAGAAGTGGGGGATTTGGCAAGAGGAGAGCAATCCAAAGGGAGCAGTTTGGGCAGGCCAGTGCCAAAGGGCATTCTCAATGGGACATAGTTGAGTGGGCCCGGGCTATGGCCACCGGGTGACAAGAAGGCACAGGAGACCTCTGTGTTTCTGTGCAGGTTGAGTTGTAACTGGGAGGATGGGTGGGACAAGGAGACACTGGGGGCAGGAAGTCAAAGGCCTTGGGAATGGAGACAGGCAAGTGCAATTGCTCCATGTGATGGTCTATACTGCTCCATGTGATGTGTCTACACTGCGAATACCAGGGAACACATGCCAGAGATGCTGTTACACCACAAAAGGAAGCCTCTTTTTGAGACTTGGCTTTCCATTCTTTTGGGTATTACAACCAGAAGTGGAATCGTATCGAATTTTTTTTTTTCCGTATCAAGTTTTAAGCAAGGGAGAAACGGGATATTTTGTCTAGGAAACTATTTGTCTGGCTGCAGTGTAGTTTGGAGAAGGGAGAGGTTAAAAGGAGACTGCTAGGCCAGTGCTGCCCAATAGCTGTGGGGCAGAGAGGTGTTGAAGTTAGGGCTGATGGGAAGGGGTGAGGAAGAGGGTAGAGCTGCGGACAGCCCCTGGGCTCCTGGCTTGTGTAGTAGCTAGGTCACCCAGGGTGATACTGCCAGCATAGGGAGCACAGAAGAGGCAAGCTGATGGATGAGCTGAGTCTGAGATGACAGATTCTGAATTGAGATGTAGTTTTACAAGACAGCTCTAGATTCTGGTTTGGAGCTCGGGAAGGAGGAATGGGATGGAGATAAAGACTGGCCATGAATGAGCAAGGTGGTGACCCAGAGAGCCTGTCTTCAACTGGCAGGAACAAGCAGGTTGGAAAAAAGGGCCCAGGACTGAACCTGGGTGTCCAGATATCTCAGGGGAAGTCAGGAAAGAGGTGCCAGCAGTTCCCAGTCAGTCTGAGGATGCAGCAGAGCTGAGCCTGTCACACTGGTCATTAGGGGCAGGGGTCACTGGCTGCTTCTGCCTGAGAAGTAAATGGGGTGGCGGTAGCACTTGGTAAATGGACAGAAACAGACGCTTTTGAACATTCTTTCAAAAAGCTTAACCCTAAAAGGAATAATGGTAGTAGTTAAAAACAGATGCTGGTCAACTTTTCTTGGTGGTTGTTTTGACGATAGAGAACAGAAGACTGTTCAGGACTGTTGGAAATAGACCAAGGTCTCAGAGATGAGAACTGAACCTAAAGCCAAAGTGGAAAGCTGACCTTGAAATGAGAGGACTGCTCTCCTCAGCCAGGGTGGTGAGGTGGGGTCTGTGTGTGTGTGTGTATGTGTATGTGTGTAGAAATGGGGGTTGGGAAAACCGTGGGAATTGGAGGATTTAAACTTAATTTGTGGGCAGCTGAGGAGGCTCAGCAATTTAGCGCCACCTTAAGCCCAGGGCGTGATCTTGGAGACCCAGGATCAAGTCCCATGTCTGGCTCCCTGCATGGAGCCTGCTTCTCCCTCTGCCTGTTTCTGCCTCTCTGTGTGTCTCATGAATAAATAAATAAATACATCTTAAAAAATAAATAAACTTAATTTGTTCTAAAAAGTAGGAGGCAAGGACAAGTATAAGACGTTGGGAGGCAGGCCAGTTTGTGTCACCTGTACCAAGGTGCACACTTCCTTGAGCTGAGTGGGAGAATTTCCAGGAATCTGTACCTTTGAGGCCCAGGGGGCTCTGCACAGCTCCGCAGCAGGTTGGGCCAGTGGGAGGAGTCAGCTCCTCCACAGGAGCATTCAAGGGAAGGAGGGGTGGACCCCGTGGGGACTGGGTCTCCAGGCACTGGGGGGTGGGGCTGCCTGGAGGCCTCCTCTGCAGGCAGCCCCACCTTGAGGTGGCAGAGGTGAGCACAGAGTAGTGATCACTAGGCTGCTGGAGGGAAGGCTGGCTGTCCCCTGGTAACAGTCCAAAGAAGAGTCAGCTTCCTGGGGCCCTCACCTTCACCTCTGCCTCAATAAAACAGTCTCAAATAAGCAAAAACTTTTTATTCAGATTTTTTTTTTTAATTCAAGCAACAATTTTTCCTTAAACTCCACAGTCTTAATTTTTCAGGGAAAGAGAGGATTTGCAATAATGTCATCAACTCCACACCACCTGGCTACTCCCCGACTGCCCGACTGGGGCCCTTCCGGGGCGTTCTGCCCTACCAGCCAGTGAGGACAAGAATTCTTCTGCTGTCCAGCTCTGGAACACCTGGGCCTGCCCTGGCAAGGGACTTGCTCACAGAGCCTGACCAAGCACGAAGCATTGACCAGGAGCCCCGGGACCCCCGGGCCTTGCAAGGGCTTCATTAGTGCCCACCAGGCCTGCACTGGTGCATCCAGTCCCCTACCCAAGCATGAGTGCATCTTCCCAGACATTTTGCCACCCATTTGCCCCACCACACTCCTCAGCCTCTACTGCGGTGACCCCGTAAACATCAAAAGATGCACCTGCATGAGGTATGGCCAAAGTGGTGCTAGGGCAGCCTTTGAGAGCATGATTTTTACTAGCATTGACAAAAGAAAAGCAAGGGGGTAGGGGTCCCCAGAAACAATGAAACAACACCCCCCCCCCATCTGCTCCTCACATCTCCTCAGTGTTCTCATGTGAGAAGACACTAAGAAAGCTAAAACTTCTTGCCCCTTCTTGGCAAGTGAAGAGCATCTTCCAGAACTTCATGAGTGTAGCTGCAAAACTAGCAGGACTCCAGGAGTAGGACCTTTCAACCCTGTTTTCCCTCTAGAGTGGAGAAGACTCTGTGTACTTTATTTTGTAAGATAAAATATAGGTGCAAATGATGAAGGGCACCTCTTGCCATAGCCCCCTTCTCAGCCCTGTGCAGGTGTCTTGTCCAGAGCCCTGGGCCTCAGTTTCTGGCACCCTTTTGGCCCCAAGCAGCCAGTGCTACACCAGCCTGGCATCTAACTGAACATCTCAACTGCAGAGCAGAGAAATAAAACCCACCTTCTCGTAGTAAATGCTTCTGGTCTGACCTAAGCACGGCTTCTCTTTTTTTCTTCAAAACATAAAATTCTATATTATAGTGTCCAGCATCTTCCTGCAAATAGAACTCTACCCAACCCACAAATTCTCTCCTGGACCATCTACAGAATCTAACAGGGAACCCAAGCCTCTTTACACAGATGGGCTCCATGGCTGGGAACTAGGCCTCTAGTGGAAGACAACTCAGCAGGGAATGCCTGTGGATGCCTTGCCTCGGTGCTGGTTTCTGGAGTTGGTACAGAGCAGCTACGTTTCCCAAAAATGGCCCAGGCCCCTTCTCACCAGCAATCCCAAGCCCTTTCCTGCAGCTTTGCAAGCAATCCTACTCCCTAGTGTGCAGCCCAGCTGGAAAATGAAAAGGCTCCTCTGGGAGGCAGGGAGAGGCTGGTGGGTCACAGGACCAAACATAGGACTGCAGGGCATGGCCAGGCCTGGAGAGCCCCACTTCCTGAGACGGCTGCTACCACCACAACCCTCAGAGGAATACAGGCCTCACGCAGCAGCAGCATAGATACAGGTAATAAGGCCAGGAGAGAGGACCCCAAGTGTCTTCTCCATGAGTAGGAGGAGCTATGTACAGGAGAGAGGAGAGGATGGCCAGGGATACCCCCTGACATTGACATCTCATTCAACCAAGAGATCAAACTGCTCAGCAGCTTCAAACTCCGCATTCATGGCTGCAGCCCACTCATCCAGCTCCGATTTCTAGGGGGAGAAAAATGGGGGGCAGGTGAGGGAGGAAGGGAGCATGCTGCCCAGGGCACGTGTACCCTGACCCTGCGGGCACTGAGCCCCAGGCTGGCCTAAGGCCTGGTGGTCTCCCAGCACACGTGGTGCAACAGCAGACCCAAGCCCTGCCCCTCACTCACCAGGATCTCTGGCACCTTTCTCTTCTTTCGCTTCTCCTTCACGACTGGTGGGGAGATTCCAGGGAGAGTTGTATCTGGGGCCCAAGGCTTCACCCTGGGGACTTCCGTCAGCTTGGAAGACACCACAGGTGAGACTCTGGCCAAGTCTTCTGACCCCAACAGCCCCTCGAAACCAAAGCAAGACCGGCGGCCTGGGGTGGAGGTGGAGGCAGATCCGAAGGTCTCCAGTCGGCTATAGGATCTCCTGACTTTCTTAGACATTTCCAAGTCTCTGGCATCCAGGTCTTCTTCCCTGGAATTAGACTCACGGGGAACATTCACGGGGTACAGCACAGGAGTGGTGGTGGGGGTGACAGGGATGCTACATGACTTGAAGAGATCCTCCCTAGAAGTCTCCTTGGTGGGAGGGTTGTTTTCCTTCTCCAAGAAAAAAGCAATCTGTACAAGGACAGAAGAGAGAAGGCCTCCTTGTTAGTTAGCCGTCTTATTTACTTCCAGAGAGGTCTGAAGAGATACAGGGTGGAAAGACCCATAGGACACTTAAGAAAAAAAAAAAAAAAAAGATTTTATTTATTTATTCATGAGAGGCAGAGACACAGGCAGAGGGAGTAGCAGGTTACCTGCGGGGAGCCCGATACAGTACTCGATCCCAGGACCCTGGGATCACGCCCTGAGCCAAAGGCAGATGCTCAACCACTGTGCCACCCAGGTGTCCCCTGTAGGATACTTTTAAAAGGAAAAGAGATCAAATAAATCAGATCCTGGGAAAGATTTAAGGTGGGGAAGAAAAGAAGAATCTGCCATTGTTTCTGAGTCTACTTTTGTAAGGTCAAGAAGGCATCTCGCCCCTTGTAGTCAGCTCTGTCTCCAACAAAGTGAGGATCTAGCCTCCCCTGTTGACTGACCTGAGCCACAATCACAGGTCATCTGGACCAGGTCAAGCTCCTGACTGCTCTTCCTGGTACCATGTGTGCCCTCCGTGGTCCAAATGCCACACAGCTGCCAACGCTGTTCCTAACATGCCCGTCCACTCAGTACTTCCTGGCCACCTGTTCCAGGTACTTTACAAGCGTTCAGAGAACAATAGGCAGCAGGCAATAAAACAGAGAAAGCCCCCCGTCTTCATGGGACCTTCCATTCTCATGGGATAAAACATGGAAAAATCATGTAGCATGTTAGAAGTATTAAACACTTTGGGGGAAAAAAAAAACAGAACAAGAGAGTACTGGGTGTGAACTGGGATTTTTTTTTTTTTTTTTGTGGATTGGGATTTTAAGTAGGTGAAGGTCAACATAGGTCTGAAGGGACATCTTGAACTAGAACTTGAAGGAGGTGAGGGAAGGAGCATCACAGAGGCCAAGTGTTGTAGGCAGAGGGGACAGAAGGGGCAAAAGTCCTGAGGTGAAGGTATGCCTGGAAAGGTAAAGGAACAAAGCCAGTGTGGCCAGGTTGAGAGGGAGGAGAGGAAATGAAGATGGGGTTCGAGACATAGTGGGAGCTGCGATAGGGCCTTTTGTAGGACACTGTAAGTGGAAGCCCAAGGAGACCCTTGCAGAGACCCAGGGAGCCATGGCAAGGTTGTGAATGGGGAAAGGCCTAATCTGGGATGTATATGAAGCCGTTCACGTGTTGGCTCCTTAAAATTACACTCTCAGCTCAAATGCTGCTTCCTCAGAGAAACCATTCTCACTGCAGAATAGAGAGCAGCCCCTCTGGTGCTGCTCTTTACTTCTGCCACAACCACCTCCCTCGTACAGCTATCATCGCTGTCTGATTCTGACTTGCTCAGTGGTCACCCAACTAAACAGGAGCTTCTTGAAAGCAGGGGTCTTCATCTGTCTGGCTGCCCCTGCCTACAGCCTGGGCCTTCAAGCCCTGCATGCAGCTGGTATTTGATGCTCACTGAATTCTTGTAACAAAACTTGGCACTGGGCTTTCTGGCAGCCAAGCAAGGATAGGAAATGGGACAAATTCAGTCACTCCCGTGGTCTGAGAGAAGGAGTTGTAAGGAGTTGTTTGTTATCAAGAGAGACCCTTCCTGGCTACAAGCACTGTAAATCTGAGTCTTGGTAACAATTCCTAGTAAAAGAGACGCTGAACAAAATGGAGGTTAGCTCTGACTACAGCTTCCCCATCCCCTATGGCAAGCAGTCATGCAAGTCCTTGCAGCTCTTTTTGTTCGATGTCATCAATCTACCATTCAACCAACAAGAATGAATGATTGCCACGGGGAGGCAGAAGTCCCTGCCCTCAAGACAACAAGCAAATATTCAGAGTATTGAGAAGGCCTAAAGAGAACTACAAAGAGAAACAGGATAGTGACAGGGTACAGTGGTCAGGGAAGGCTTCTAGGAGGCGTCTTTTCAGCTGAGAACTGTGTGATGGGAAGGTCATGTGGTGAGATGAGGGGCAGAGCATCATTCTGCCCTCACCTTACTTTAGGCCTCCACCATCTCACTGCAGGATTCCTGTTAAGTCTTCCTACCTGGTCTAGGGGTCCCCAGCAGGCTTTTTCCATCCCTGTCTCCACACAGACCCCAGAGTGCTGTTTCTGAAGCACTCAAGCACACCTTAGTGACTACCTTGCTGGAGACTCCTCAAAGGCTCCCACAGTGCCAAGGCTTTCATGCCTCATCAGGAACGGCTCTGGCTTAGCATGCTCCATCACCTAGCAAGATCTGCCACCAACACACCGAACAAACTGACATTCTCCAAACCTTGAGATTTTCTTTGTGAATTCCAGGTCTCTGAAAACACAGCTTCCTTTGCCCAAACATTACTACTTGTCTTTAGAAAGAGTCAGTTGAAACATTTCTTTTTCTGTGAAACAGCTCTAGGGCCACTTGGTTTGGGTTAGGTGCCTTCATAACCTCTAGTGCTTTCTTTCTTTTTTTAAGATTTGAGAAAGAATGAGTGAGTACACAAGGGGAAATGGCAGAGAGAGGAAGAAGGAAAAGGAGAAGTAGACTCTCCACTGAGCAGAGCCAAGAGGTAGGGCTGGATCCCAGGACTCTGGGACCATGATCTGAGCTGAAGGCAGACACTTAATCAACTCACCCAGGTGCCCCATCACCTAGTACTTTTCTTACCGCAGTCCTCAGCACGGTGTGCTATTATCACTTGCTCATCTGTCTTTCTCCCCATTTGACCATAAGCTCCATGTGCTCCTAACAGGCAGCTAGCATTTCTCACTTGTATCTTCAGGCCGAGGTTTCCTGATCGTAAAACATCCTCAGTAACTTCTACTAAGATAGTAAAAATGCCATACTCCTCTTACAACAACCTGTGCTTACATATTGAGGAGATAGGCTAGAAAGAAGGAATACTTTGGACCCGGCTCAGCTCTTAGGAATATGGTAGAGAGATGGCTGGGTGGCTCAGTGGTTGAATGTCTGCCTTTGGCTCAGGTCGTGATCCTGGGATCAAGTCCCGCATCAGACTCACTGCAAGGAGCCTGCTTCTCCCTCTGCCTATGTCTCTGTCTCTGTGTGGGTCTCAGGAATAAATAAATACAATCTTAAAAAAAAAAAAAAAAGAAAAAAAAAAGCAGAGAATATCAGGACATCAAGACCTAAACGTATGAAATCCACAGGGAGTGAGCAAAACTGGCCATGCACATAGCTGTCCAAAGGCAAACTGTTTCAAAATACAGATGCTTCCCAACTTAGAGGGTCTGACTTAAGATTTTTCTGTTATGACGGTGCAAAATTGATATGCACTCCATACAAATCGCACTTCGAATTTTGATCTTTTCCCAGGCTAGTGAAATGTGATAAGATCCTCTCTTATGATGCTGGCAGGGGCAGCAAGCTGCAGCTCCCAGTCAGCCATGCCATCACGTGGGGAAACAGCTGACAAACTTACAACCATTCTGTCGTTTGTTTTCAGTACAGTATTTGATAAGTTAAGTGGTATTCAATTTTTCATTATGGATAGGCTTTGAATCAGATAATTTAACTATACGCTCATACAACTGTGCCGACACGTTTAAGGCATGATAATCTAAAGTACGACGTTTGATAGATTCGGCGCATTAATTGCATTTTTGACATACTACGTGTTCAATTCATGACCGTTTTATCAGAAAGTAACCCTGTCCTAAGTGCAGGAAGATTTGTACCTCAAAACAGCCCCCTGGGCAGATGTGAGCAGCCAGTATATCCTGCCCCATCTCGAGAGTGCCCTGGATTCCACTCCACTGAGCCGACGAAAGAAAATGAACTCACCCTTGGGCTCCTTCGAGGCGTGTGGATAGATGGAATCTGTGGAGACAATAATAACTGATCAAAGACTCATCCGCAATTTTGGCTCCCAACCCACAACCCCTCTCTCAGTCCTCACCTCTACAGAATGGGCTACGATCTTCTTCAACACGATGGGCTTTCTGACTGGAGCCGCATGGGGAGCCTGGAAAAGAACAGTGAATATGAGCTCCACATTAGTCCAGCGGCCCACGGGACAGAAGCTGAGAAAGCAGGGCTCACCTTGGGCCAGATTTCAGGGAGGGTGCTCGGGAGATCAGGGCCTGATTTCCGCTGGGACCTCCGCAGAGACTGAGTAGGAGATGAAGTCCTGGACCCTGGGCAGAGAAAAAAGTTAGGAGGTAAGGGTAAGACTCTAGGCCTCAGAGTCTAGAGAAGAGATTCAGGAGAGAGTGAGAGAAGGTTCCCAAACAAGCTCCTTAACGGCGGAATGAGCCTCTTAGAGCCGTGGGCGGGGGGGGAGGGCCTCCTCGTGGGACTCCATCCCTCAAACGGCTCGGCCCCAGGCTCCCGCGCGCCTTCGGCTCACCGGAGTGCCGTGTGGCCCCTCCGGACCGTGTTCGCCTTTCGGACATGCTAGCCTTGATCTCGACCTCCGCCGCCGCCTCCGCCGCCGGGGCTCGCGCCAACCCAGAGGAAACGTTCGAATTACCCGCCCTGCCTGGAGGAAGCGGAAATGACGCAAGACGGGAGGGACGCCGTGCTCCGTTTACCATCCGTCTCGCGCGTAGCGTCAGCAGGGGCGGGGTCAGCGGTCCACTTACGTCATCAGTGGGCGCCGCACCCGGAAGAGACGTGGCAGCGGAGGGATAATCGGAGCGGCCCGAGGTAGAGCGCGCAGAGCGGGAGCACGGCTGAGCGCAGTGTCTGTCCTTCTGCGCCTCGGACCAGCGCTCGCGCCGGTCGGGACCGGTGAGGCGGTCGATCGGTAACACGGAGGGGGGGCCGGGGGGGGGTCTGTGTTGAAGCAGGGGGCGGGGCTTGGAGGGGGTGGGGCTCAGGTGGAGCCCCTGGGGGCGGGGCCGGTGGTATCGGAGACTCGCTGGTGGAGGGACCTGGCCGGGGGCGGGATCCAGGAGAAATGAGGGGTCACTGGAGGCGGAATTCGTTCAGGAGGCGTGGCCCGGAATGTAGAAGGGCGGTGGGCAGGAATTAGGGGTTGGGCGATTATGAGAGGTGTTTAGGGGATTTAGGAGTGGAGACGATCTGGGCTTGTGAGTTCATAGTGGCGGACACCGGAAGCTGGCTCTCTCAACTCAGACCCCTTCCTCAGGGTCGAATATGGGACTTTGCAAGTGCCCCAAGAGGAAGGTGACCAATCTCTTTTGCTTCGAACACCGGGTCAACGTCTGCGAGCACTGCCTGGTAGCCAATCACGCCAAGGTGGGGCTTCAGGGGAGGGGTGAAGCAGGGCAGTGGGTGGGCCGGCAGTATCGGTTTTCTCCAACTCCGAGAAGGCCCTGGGGTTGGAATGGAAGCTCCAGGAGGGCGGGAACTTGGTTTCTTTTGTTCTCGGCTCTATCCCCAGCACTTAAGACAGACTCTGGCACACTGCGTGCTCAATAAATGTTTATTGATTGAACAAACGAAAGTATGATTCTTGTTTGTGATGAGCGAAAAAGAAGCAGCTGGGCCCCCGTTGTGACCTCTGTCTCCCACTCCAGTGCATCGTCCAGTCCTATCTGCAGTGGCTTCAAGATAGCGACTACAACCCGAATTGCCGCCTGTGCAGCACACCCCTGGCCAACCGGGAGACCACCCGCCTCGTCTGTTACGGTGAGGCCTGCCCAGCTTGGTGACCAGTTTCCACGTCCTCTCTAAGCAGCAGGGCAATGGAGACCTCCCCAGGCTTGGGAGGCTGGAACCCCAAATTCTAGTCCTGCTGTGTTATTTACCTGATGTGTGAGCTGAGGCAAGTCATTTTCCCTTTCTAGGCCTCAGTGTTTTTCCCTAAAAATTAAAACTCCTACTTTCTTACCTGCCCATTTACAGGGTTGAGTGAGAGCCAATCAAACTTGTATCATTTGGGCTGTGAGCAGTAGCTGGCTGGACCAGCAGGGAGCTAAAGGCACGAGGCTTTCAGACATCTGGGATCTATTATTCATTCCAACTAAACAGAGAGGAAGGGAGTTTCCCACAGTAACTAGCTAAAAGAAGTTAGTTATATGTATCATGACTTTGACCTGACTGATGTAAGAGGCTTAGGCTCAGCTTTTTTTGACTTTATGTGTGTTAATGTGTTCCTTAGTACCTGGACATGAGTGAATGGGTAAACGTGTGAAGTATGAACACAGGTGTGTTGTGGGGTTATAGGACAACGCTTGGGTTATGGTGCTTGAGTTTTAGCAAATGTGATTGTATAAAAGCTTCTGTGTGGGAGTTAGTGTGCCTACAAGTGTAGATACAGGGATGATACTTGTGTTTTATTGTATTTATACATTTGTGCCCATGGGTGTGGGTGTGTACATGCATACGTGTACTTGTGTGTGTCTAGGAACTTATGAAACTGCTCCTGATTAGCTGTTAGCCTGAGGAGCTTGTGATAAGTGCATGTTCAAAGAGGACTCACTTTAAAGGTCACTGGCATTTCTTCCCATCCCTACTACCCCAGGGAGAAGTAGGCTTCTCCCTTCTAGTGGGCTGGGGATCTTGGTAGCATCTCCCTTGACTGAGTCAGGTAGTGGTGGCCAAGAAGGCTGAAATCCTAGGGAACACTGATAAAATGGACCTGAGTGAGGACAGGAAGGAGAAGGCTATGAGCTCACATGTGCGTGTATACATACATCCACCTAACCAACTGGGGGTTGTTGCCGGGCTAGAGTTCCTACATATCTTCTTCCTCATGCCTCTCCTCCCCTATTTCATTGGCCCTAAGATCTCTTCCACTGGGCCTGCCTCAATGAACGTGCCGCCCAGCTACCCCGTAACACAGCTCCTGCTGGCTACCAGTGCCCCATCTGCAGTGGCCCCATCTTCCCCCCAACCAACCTGGCTGGTCCTGTTGCTTCCGCACTGAGAGAGAAGCTGGCCATGGTCAACTGGGCCCGGGCAGGACTGGGCCTTCCTCTGGTGAGAATCTGTGTCTGATTGACCGTCTGCCCTGGGTCCCACTTGGGCCAGATGGGTGGGTAGGGACAGCATTGAGCAGGCTGGTGACACAGGTTCCTTCCTCCAGATCGATGAAGTGGTGAGCCCGGAACCTGAGCCCCTCAACACCTCTGACTTCTCTGACTGGTCTAGCTTTAATGGTAGGTAGTGGTCTGCACTGCCCTTGGGGCCTTGCTTCCCTGCTCTGCTGACAGCTCTCTTCTTGCCACAGCCAATGGTAGCCCTGAACAGGAGGAGGTAGCCAGCGCCTCTGCTGCCCCATCCTTCTACAGCCAAGCCCCCCGGCCCCCTGCTTCCCCGAGCCGGCCCGAGCAGCACACAGTGATCCACATGGGCAATCCTGAGCCCTTGACTCATGGTGAGCCAAGGAGTTTTCCAGTCTGGAAGAGGATGGAAAGGGAGTGGAGTGACTTATGTGGAGGGGGCTTGGGGTTCCAGAGGCCCACTGGGTGGCTGCCCTCTTCACTAACATAGTCATTACCTTCCCCATGATCCTGAGATGTTTTGTCAGGTTAAGAGGGCAAGGACCTCCTGCCCTCCCCACTCCCCACCCTGCTACAGGCCAGTTTCTCTGAGCCTGTGGATACTGGTGGCTCTGCCCCTGCAGCCTCGGCCCCCAGGAAGGTGTATGACACGCGGGACGATGACCGTTCACCAGGCCTGCATGGGGACTGTGATGAAGACAAGTACCGTCGCCGGCCTGCCCTGGGGTGGCTGGCCCAGCTGCTCAGGTACACAGGGTCAGGTGGGGCCAAATGCCAGGAAGGAGGGAGGAGAGGAAGTGAGAGCCAGAGGCCCTGGGCATGGTGATTGCATGATAAGAGGGGTTCTCTGGGTAATGGTAGTATCTGGTGTTGGGCTGTGCAGAGAGGCCTCAGCTCAGCTTTAGAAGTCCCAGGTCTGCTCCACTGTGGAACTATTTCCTCACCTACTGGGTATCTGAGGCTTGAGTTTGGGCTCTTTGAGGTCCCTTCCTGCTCTGACACCACCTGACCCTAGTGGCTACCAAGCCTGACACATTCTAGTTTCCAGAGCAGTTTTGGCTCAGCTGGTTTGAGCTGCATGGTCCCCTGTGTAACAAGCAGGTACAGGGGTGACCCCGCACACTGAAGGAACAAGACTCAGTAATGGTAGCCCCTGGGCCAGAAGATGAGATGAGTGTTAATATCTGGGGTTCCTCTCCAGGACAAGGAGTCATCAGGGATTGGGAACCTGACCTGACTTTCCCCTCATCCCCCCAGGAGCCGGGCTGGGTCTCGTAAGCGGCCGCTGACCCTGCTCCAGCGGGCAGGGCTGCTGCTGCTCCTGGGGCTTCTGGGCTTCCTGGCTCTCCTTGCACTCATGTCTCGCCTGGGCCGAGCTGCCGCTGACAGCGATCCCAACCTGGACCCGCTTATGAACCCGCACATCCGTGTGGGTCCCTCCTGAGCCTTTGCTTGTAACTAGGCCAGCCTAGGACCTGGGGGCCTGAGGTAGGGAGGTCTGGAGGCTTTTTTCCTGCTCCTCTTCTTCAAGCCCGAGACACTAAGATCCCAGGCCCAGTCAAGTCCACTAGAATGACTGCTGGCTGGGCCTGGGGCCCCTGCAGGTCAAACATTTGTCTTGACCTGCTTACTATGGGTCTCCAGCCTCCCACCCTCCTCCCCATGAAGGAGATGACAGGTGGAAATAAACAACAGACTTTATTAAAACACCGAAGCCTCCTTTTCCTTCCCCCTTGTCAGCCTGGTCCTCAGACTTCAGTGGTTCTCCTCCCGGTACTGGATGGCCAGAAACTCAAGGGACAGGCGGTTGAAGAACATGGCTCCGTTTAGCACTGGGCAAAGGAGAGAGCCCCCATCAGCATTCCCTGTTTGTTCTTTGCTATGTCTCAGGGATTCAAAGTTCTCTCCTCCGCCCTTAATACATCCCCCTCCCCTACTCACTTAGGATGGTCAGGGCAAAGCACCGAAAAAACTTGTCATCTGTCATCTCAGCATAGAGTGACCCCATGGCAGCCCAGCAGATGCTGATCACCTGGGAGAACTGTAGGCCCCATCCAGGGGGAGAGTGGCCCCCTGAGACAACAGCGGGGTTTCCATCAACCCCAGGGCCTCCCCCGACCAGCCCTTGAGTCCTGGCCCCAGTCTACCATCAGGACAACAGTGTAGTGGAAACTCATGCGATCATAGTGGTGGGTGACGCAGAAGTTGTGCACATCGCTGGCAAAGACGCCAAGGTGTATAAAGAAGAGCATCAGTGCGGCAGCACTGAGAACCATGCCTTGGGGGAAGAAGAGCACAGCCAGTCGGTCCCGCCACCGCATCCTGGCAAGAGCATAGACTCAAGTGAGCCAGTGGAACTTGACCAAGCCAAAACTATTTAGGAGAAGCAACTGACCCCCTACTTCTAGAGCGTACAGTCTAGAATAGTGGTGGGATGCTAGAACCATGAAGACATTGGAGGGGACAAGATTCTAGAATACAGTCTGGTTCCAGCCAATACAGGAGTGGTTCATGGGTGGCTGGGGGAGTTCCAAATTATCGAAGGTTGGAGGGCTAAAGGTACAGACCAGCAGGAGTGTCGATGAAGGGATAGTGTCCCTTATCCTGCCTGCACACTTTGTGGTCTTGTGCATTATCTTCTCGCTGAGTCTTGACAATTCCACAGAGGAGGCACTGTGGGCATATTTCTTCTACAGAGCCGGGGCTCAGAAAAGTGGTAGGGCACATCCTAGATCCACAGCAAATCTTAGGCTAGCAAGAGACTAGGCCCGGGTGTGTAGCTGGAGGGCATTCCCAGTACAAGGGAGGCCTGTGCTGAATTGTAAGCTCTAAATATTTGCTCCATTCCCTAAAAGGGAGATAAGAGCATGCCCACAGCTGTCCTGGGACCTTCCCCATGCCCTCTCTAGGCATGGCCCAGAGAGCAACTGGCTTTTCCATCCTCCCTCACATGTTCTAAGACGTGATGCTGGCCAGCTTTCCCCTCTCTGTCACCTTCAAGCACATCCATCACCTCTGTCCTTTACAAGAGTTCCCAGGCTAAGCTGGTGGCATGAATCCTATATTGCACACAAGTTTGAGGTACAGAGAAGGAGCGTCAGCCCAGGCACTAAGAGCCATTGAATGAGGGAGTGAGGTTTTTTTAAGATTTTTTTTTTTAAGATTTTTTTTATTCACGAGAGAGGCAGAGGGAGAAGCAGGCTCCATGCCGGGAGCCTGATATGGGACTCGATCCCGGGTCTCCAGGATCACACCCTGGGCCAAAGGCAGGCTCTAAACTGCTGAGCCACCCAGGGATCCCCCTGAGGGAGTGAGTATTGAGACAAAGATCCAGTTCTACTCGAGGCTGTGATTGGTCAGGGACACTCATAAGCAACAAGAAAACGTTTCCTCTGTACGTGGAAGAGGTGAAAACTCTAGGATCCTCAGCAGTATCATCCAGAAAAATGGGCAGAAATGGTATGGAGGGACATGGAAACTCCCAGGAACTAGAGTAGAAGAAGGACAGCTTGAACATAGCCACCTCCAGGACCTCCTTCCTATCTGCCTGCCTCGGAAGTTAGGTTCAGGGTCCAGCCAAGACCCAAAGTCTCCTGCCACATCCATGCTTGCTGCCCAGTGTCATTAATCACAACAGTCCCTCAGACACATTACAGTAGTGACCCCCAACGCCCACTTTTTGGCCAAATGTTAAAACCATTGTTTCCATCTCCATTCTCATGTGAATACAAATGAAATTTTATACATTAGGGCTTCTGGCTCAAAACCAGTTAAAAATTATCCAAGTAGGGCAGCCCCGGTGGCGCAGCGGTTTAGCGCCGCCTGCAGCCCGGGGCGTGATCCTGGAGACCCTGGATCGAGTCCTACGTCCGGCTCTCTGCATGGAGCCTGCTTCTCCCTCTGCCTGTGTCTCTGCCTCTCTCTCTCTCTGTGTGTGTCTCTATGAATAAATAAATAAAATCTTTAAAAAAATTATCCAAGTAGTGCATGACTATGTTCTTGTAAAAGATCTGCATACACAAGCATACAGAGGAAAAGACAACGACCTGCCGTCTCCTACCTACCTCACAGAGGTACCCCTCAACAGTTTAGTGAGTGGGCATCTTTTGAATCCCTTCTTACTGAAACCTCATATACCTACCTGTACATATACATGTATAATTTTAAAAAGCATCATGGAGAACCACACCATATGTGTTGTCAAAGTGTAACTTTCAAAAAGTTAACATGATGCTAGGTCTGGAATGAACATGTAACTAAGATGTATTAACCTATCAGTGAGGAGTTCCCCCTCAGTAAGGTGATAATGTATCTTGGGGACTTGGATATTGATAAGCATTCCTTTAGAGAGGAATGTTGGTGTGCCTATGTGGCTCAGTCAGGCGGCTACCTTTGGCTCAGGTCACGATCCCAGGTTCCTGGGATTGAGCCCCGCATTGGCTCTTTGTTCGGGGAGTCTGCTTCTCCCTCTCCTGTGCTCTCACTCTCCCTTTCACGGTCTCACTTTCAAGTAAATAAAATCTTTAAAGAAAAATAAAGAGCAATGTTAAAATATGATTCTAGGTTAGACACAAAACTGCTTGAAATCCTACAGGACGATAAATAGAACTTTTGAAGTTACTTTTTCTGCTGGATATAAATGTTTTGTATATCTCCTGGACAATATCTACTTGTAATATCAGCATCTGAACACATAATGGTAAATAGCAATATCAAATGTTCATTCCTGTGGGTAATTAAATAATCCTTGGATAGGCTTGTAAAACAAGCCCCAGTGTGGCATTAGCAGAACATGCTACACTCTTGGGGTTTTTTGTTTGTTTTTTTCTTAAAGATTTTATTTATTCATAAGAAATACAGAAAGAGGCAGAGACATAGGCAGAGGCCAGGATCACAACCTGAGCCCAAGGCAGATGTTCAACCGCTGAGCCACCCAAGTGGCCTACACTCTTGGTCTTCTTTCCAAATTTTGAATAATTTTTCTTAACCATTATTCTGCAACTTTTTTTTAAGTGTATAGACTTGGAGTAGATCTAAATCTTTATACTCATTTTTTTTTGAGATTATAGCATCATCAGCTGACACTATTTTTTAAACAGCCTCTAAACATCCTTCTTAACATAGATGAGATCTTTCAACACAGATTTCAGCAGTCAGCCAACTATTCTTCATGGTAAATGTTTTAGGTGTCAGCCATAAGGTCTCTGTTGCAACTACTCAACACTTCTGTTGTAGTGCAAAAGCAGGCACAGATAATAAACAAATGTGCATGGCTGTGTTCAAATAAAACTATAGACACTGGAATATTTCATATAATTTTCGTTTGATTTTATGAAAATCATTTAAATTGAGATAGACATATTCCAATATTTTTAAGGGTACAAGGTAATGATTTGGTATTTGTATATGTTTCAAAATGATCACAAGGAAGTCTAACATCTGTCACTATACAAATTATTAATGTTACAAATCATTTTTTCTCCTGATGAGCACTTTTAAGATCTACTCTGATTATATGAATTTTACATAATTTTCACATCATGAAATGCCATTCCTATTTTTTAACCATTTAAAAATGAAAACAAACAACAACAACAACAACAAAACAAACACACCAGTCTTAGCTCACAGGCCAACTGAAAACACGTGGTGGGATGTGTTTGGCCTGCTGCACCCCAGCCAAAGAATCTTTAAACACGGTGGTTTCCATTCCAACACCCCCCACCCCGCCCCGCCCAGCCGCCAGCCCATCACAAGTAATGTTTCAAGGACCATGTCGATAAAGTCGTTTTCTCTATTAAAACTCATCGTATCTATACTTGAACGTCATTACCTGTCCTCTTAAGCACTGCACCTTGGTGAACAATCAATTGCATTTTGTTGAAATCCGAAACCTGAGAACAACCCTCATCATCTCCACCCAGCCCCCCCTCTCAGCACAACCCACGGGTCGCTGAAGATCTGCCAAGTCGGTCTTCTAAGCAAGTATCTTAAAGTGCTTGGGGACTTTTTTTTTTTCCTTAAAGAGGCTAGGACTGGGGGAGCCCAGGGTCTGAAGGCAGTTCTGACCGGTGTCAGAGGACGGGCGGGGAAACTGCTAGAGGCCCCGCCCGCACTGGGCGTGCATCTGACCTCGTAGCTCCCCCGCAGCCTCTTGTGAAGTCTGCACCCGTATAGTAGGAATGGGGGACACTGCCTCCAGAGACATATTCCGGGGGCCTCTGCCTGCGGGGGTGCGGGGTTGGGAGCCAGGACCCGCCTTCCTTCTGGGAGGGAAGCACCAGACGAGTTCTTCTCAATCATTCTGCTCGGGAGGCTGCGGGACCCCAGGGCTCTCCCGGAACCTCTTCCGCTCAGGGAGGAAAGGTACGGGGGAACGCTAGTCTCGAAAGACCCAGGGTTGCAGGGGGACCTTTCAGCTGAAGGACTGCCTCGTTTCAACAAGAACTTTATGGCTCCCGGAAGTGCCTCCTCCCAGTTCTTTTCCCAGCCTCACACCCGTGGGCTGCAGTTGGAGTGATGGCGGCTGCAGCCGCTGGGCCTGGCCCGGGGTCTGGACCTGGGGACTCTCCGGAGGGGCCCGAGGCGGAGGCCCCGGAGCGTCGGCGGAAGGCGCACGGGATGCTGAAGCTTTACTACGGTCTCTCGGAGGGGGAGAGCGCGGGGCGCCCCGCAGGGTCGGACCCCCTGGACCCGACGGATCTCAACGGGGCACACTTCGACCCGGAAGTGTACCTGGACAAGGTGTGTGTTTGTGTCTTGGGGAGAACCAGGCCCTGGACACATCGCATCCCCCAGATCATGCCTTCGACTTTGCTGCGGGGGTGAGGGACGCAGGGGTTCCTAAAAACCAGATGACCCTAGGGCAGGAAGCAGGGGCCGAGCTGGAGTCTAAGGGGGCGTGGGCAGATTTGGACAGGCCGGAGCAGGTGCGGGGTGCGTGATGTCCTGGGCTGATGTTCTGATAGGCCGGGGCGTGGGGCGTGGCCCAGGCGTTGACAGGCTTAGGGGTGGGCGGTGGCTGAATCTGAGCGTTTCAAAGGCCGACAAACCCCAAATAGAGTCGAATCTAGTAACTCCTGACCTATGACACTGATAGGCTCTTTGTCTAGTATCTCTGCCAGGAGTGGGATGAGAGCTTTCTTGCACCCAAAGCCTACCAGGTAGGGGCAGGCCTGAGGGACATGAATGCCCCTGCCCTGAGCACTACCACTTGGATTTCCTCCAGCTGCGTCGGGAATGCCCCCTGGCCCAGTTGATGGACAGTGAGACAGACATGGTGCGACAGATCCGGGCTCTGGACAGCGACATGCAGACCCTGGTCTATGAGAACTACAACAAGTTCATCTCAGCCACAGGTGATTCCCGCTGGGACACACCCGTCACAGTCCTGCCTGCCTGTTGGTCTTGTGTTGGGGAGTCGGGGGAGGAGACCCAGATTCTAGTCCCTCCCTGACATTTATCCACTCCCACCTCTCAGAGCTTTTGTGGTCAAATGATGGTAGCTGCTCTCAGAGGGTTGTTCTGAGGGTCAAAGGGGAGAAAAAACAAAATGAAAAAAATTTAAAGGTTTTATTTGTTTATGCATGAGAGACACACAGAGAGAGGCAGAGACATAGGCAGAGGGAAAAGCAGGTTCCCTGGGGGAGCCCTATGTGGAACTCGATCCTAGGACCCCAGGATCACAACCTGAGCTGAAGGCAGACACTCAACCACTGAGCCACCCAGGCATCCCAACAAAATGAAATCTTTTATTATTATTTTCTTTTATTTTTTATTTTTTTAACAAAATGAAATCTTAAACTGAAATGGGTTTATCTGAACCACTTAGAATCCCTGACACTATCGATGTCTCAGTAAGGGTTAGTTTCTCTGACTAGTGGTAGCTTTCTTCTCTTGCGCAGGTCTATCTTGAGGGTGGGCTTTTTTCTGTCTCTTTCTCTCTCTCGCTCCCTTCCTTCCTCTATCCCTTTCCCCCTTTTAAATTAAGCAAAGAGGGGGATCCTTGGGTGGCTCAGTGGTTTAGCGCCTGCCTTTGGCCTAAGGCGTCATCCGGGAGTCCTGGGATCGAGTCCCGCATCAGGCTCCTGGCATGGAGCCTGTTTCTCCCTCTGCCTGTGTCTCTGTCTCTGTCTCTCTCTGTCTCTATGTCTATCATGAATAAATAAATAAAATCTTTAAAAAAAATTAAAGAGACACAATATATGACATTAAGGGACACAGAGATCATGAACAGGGTTTTTTTTTCCTTCTCCTCCTGCCTCCTTTATTCTCTGTCCAGGACAGTGCTAGACAGGGTTCAGCTATCATTCACACTAACTACTGTCTTATGTTGGTGAAATGCACCACTCAGACTTTTTTGTGATAATTTTGGACTTGTGTGTACATAGTTCTAGAGGCAGATCTCGAATGTCTACTGGTGGTCCATGAGAATGTTGGGTGAACCTTTGTGACGCTCATTCTGACATCTCTTACTCTACTAGTGTCACAAGGTTGGATGTAGCCATTGTCCTTTTATCTGATTTGAAACAGGTTCAGTGAGTAGGCACCTCTTTATTTGCTAATACCAGCATCAACCAGCAAGAAATCATAATTCCTAGGGGCGCCTGGGTGGCTCATTCATTTAAGAGTCCAACTCTTGATTTCAGTTCAGGTCATGATCTCAGGGTCATGAGATGGAGATTGAGCCGGGTGTTGGGGCTCCATGCTCAGGGGGAATTTGCTTCTCTTTGCCTCTCTCTCCCTCTGCCCATACCCTCATACTCTTTCTCTAAAATAAATTAATAAATCTTTAAAAAAAAAAAGAAATCATGATAATTTCTGAGCTACAAAATTTCTTACAAGAACTTTGCAAACATTACATTTTCCATTTGTTAGAATTTGTATAATTTTGACATTTAACTGTTATTTAATAAAGAATGACTTATCTTTTTTCTAAGAAAGGGAGAAAATTATAAAATGA